CACCTAAGGCTCTCAAAAGAAGTTGCCCAAAAGGGCAGTGACGGCACTTGACCATCAAAAGTGGTAAAGAATGATGTTCTGCAAGAGCCTGCTCTGCAAGGTCAGCAGGAGAGCATGGACAGGTCCCAGCAATCACGTCTCTTCCTTCGACTCCGGCAGCGACCTCAAGGTCAAGATTACAGCATGCGGTAGGGCTGCTGGAAGGGGCTACAGGCAGCTGCCTGTGCAGTGTCTGCTCCAGGAGGAGCCAGGACCCCATCCCTTCATCCCAAAAGAGAACTTGGGCTCGGTGACCAAAGAGCTGGTACTGCTGTATGCTTGGCAATAGAACTTTTAGCAATGTTACCACCCAAGAATAACGGTGAGCCCATGGCGACAGGGAAATACTTTCCTCCTACTGTGGAAACTTTGGCGTGGCTCCTAAGAATTAATCTGTTCAGGGTAATTTTCAGATAAACAAGAACCACACATAAAACAGATTAAAGCGGACCAGATCTCCACCAAGTAACCAAGCTATGGTTGTCCCATTGCAGCAAAGCCAACAAAAAGACGAGATGATTTTTAGACATTTCGGTGAGACTGGCCCCTATATCTCTGGAAACTTCTTCCACATTTATAACGAAACTGAAATGCTACGCACTGACTGCACTTGGAAATGCAGCGGCAGCACTGCAGAAAAGTGATGTCTTGGGTCTGTAACGAGGCACTTGGGCCGCCTTGCACTACTGTACATGCTTTTCAAGGCAAGAGAATTCATAAATACAGTTATACTGTGGAAAAATTTACACATTGTAACCTAATTTCTTTTCAAAAGAATACAGAATAAGAGGGGTTTAAGGTTAATCAACAGCCTAGGGAAACGCCAACAGTTCTTAAGGCCTCTTGTCTGTCTCCAGGGCATAGTCTGCTATAGACTTGTTAAAGGGTGACTGTCTGTCTTTCTCAATAGTGGAGAGGTCGAGGTGAACCACTTCACTTTCATAAATCAAAAGAAAGAAAAAAGTGAGAAAATCTCCAGAGTTCAAACATTTCTTTAAAACCCAAACTTTAAATACTAAATGGGCTTCATGGCTGCCATTTTGAAAAACATTAGTTTGCCAAAGGACCCTTTTGATTTCTATTTGAAATGCGAGCGCTCACAGATAATCCATTGAGAATCAAACCCCCACAAAAGGCTTCCTGAAACAATCGCAGTGCTGGTGAAGGACAACATTTTTGTGCCCAAAATAAAACATTTTAATGCGCTACAATCCATTACACATATATTCCTACATTTCCTTTCAGTAATTATTCATTAGAAAACATTTAACGTCACTGCAGATTTCACACTGGGCAGTCTGCACACAAAGGAGAAGAGTTGGCCCATTTATAAGGGGCTGAGGCCGCCTTTTCTCATCTGAGAAACTCCAAGGCGGTGGGGGCTGCCGGACACAACGGGCAGGCTAAATTGTGCGGTTAACGGTCAAAGCCCCCCTGCCTACTTTGACACTCATTTAAAGATGACGGGGAACAATAGAGATTTGTTCTTAGCAACTCTTTCTTGTTAGGCGGGGTCTACATGGGCTGCGCCGGGCGGTTCAAGGCATGAAACCGGTGCTGATGTTCGGTTCCACCTGCCATTGCTCGCCCTGCTCGCTCCTCTCCCTGCCCCCCTTCCCCTTTCCCCACTTTAACACAATGAGACAGGTAAAGAATATCATTAAAAAGAGTCCCATTCAGCACGTCAGCTCTAATAAAACAATTGCCTGTCAGGTTAATATGAGCAGCTCAAATTTTGGGTTAGTGCCAGTAAGCCTGCTCTTCTGAGCCAGGTTAGTAAAAACAGCCCTTCTCACCCCAAAATTCCCAGTTCACCTCTGGGATTCCAGTTTGCACCAGTGCTCCCAGGTTACTGTGCTGTCAGCAGGCACCAGTGCATTCAGGCACCTGACCTACAGCGTAAAACACTTCTTTATAACCTTTTAATTGACAAACCCATAACAACTGCTAGGAAAGATCCTTTTGCTTTATCAGCTTCTTTTGCACGCCGCAGAGATGCTGCCTGGAACTCCGCTTTTGCCCCCGCACCCCAGACACGCTGGCTTGATGAGCGAGGAAAGCAGCAGCAACCGCACCTCGCTTGGGAAGTTTAAGACTATAATAATCAAGCTACAAATCCTGTCAAGCCAGAACAGAGACACTAACTGCATGCTCTTGCTCCCAGTCATTGCTTTTTAGATATAAGTGCCAGAGTTTTTTTCAGCACAGACATGCTTAAGTTTACTGCTGCTGGATCAGAGGCAGCTCCTTAATGAATCTTGAATCTTTATTAATTGCAGAACAGGACATCTTATTAGAAAGCATAAATTGCTGATAAGCTCCATAAAATGTATTCCCTAGCTAACAGAGCACAGGATTTCCAGCTGAAAAGCTAACATTCAAGAGTTAAAGCTTCTGGAAATAAGGGAGAGTAAATTTATTCAACTTCAGGAAAGAGAAGGACAGTCCTTGAGTATCTGACAGTCCATACGTTACAGGGAGAGTAGCATTAAACAACAGCAAGCTCATGTACACAAAAGTCTTGCAGATGAACAGAAAGAGACACCTTGCTAAGATGCCCTGGGTGCTGGTGAGAGCACACCTCAGACCTTGGTTTTGCTCCGATAACTACAGAGAACACACAGCAGGACAGGGCCACCTCCGGAGAAGTAAAAAAAAACAACCCCAAACCCCAAAGCAACCAAGCTACAGGGAAGATGTAACAGGTATTTCCTCTGCCTGGATTAGGTTGCAGTCCCTCTGTATTTACAACTACTGCTTGTTTGGTCTCAACCAGGACTTGGGCTGCTCAGAGCCCACCATTATTCCTACTTGGCATAAGAAAGGGAGATAGAGCAACCTCCCCCAGCTGCGTGGTGTTGCGGGCAGGAGGTCCGGCCCTCCGGCCAGGTTCTAGATCTACACTAGTCACACAGAAATCTAGAAAACCGAAGGCACCTTCATCCCCTTTCACAGTTTGAACACTCTGGTTTTCACAGTCACAAGTCTTAATTCTTAAGCTAGAATTCCAGATGGAAAAAAAAAAAAGCAAAATCTCATGACCCCTCAATGCAGTGCTAAATTTTATTGAAGCACAAGTGAACACACTATCATGGCATTTACAAAGCAGGCACAACATTATAGGGGAAAATCTTCAAGACAGTCAGAAGAGAGAACTAGAGGAAAATTGCACCCAAACACACACTTCTGGACACAGCAAGAAGGCCACAGATAAGATAAGTGTTGGTATCACATCTCCCATAGAAGCATTCCAACAGAAACCCTGACAATAAAATCCTTTGGGCATCAGAAAGCAAAGAGAAGCTGGCCTGTGTAGTCGCTCCTCTTGAGGGAGGCGACACGTCAGTGTCGAAACTGAAAGCAGACAAGATGAATGACGTCTGGGACAACAAATTGCTGTCTAAAACAAGATTACAACTCAAGTTCCCATAGCAAGAGCCAGTCTTTATCTCTGCACCAGAGCCCCCAAAAATCAAGGCCTGCTTTGGTACAACCACAAAACAGTAACTTGCAGAGGCTGCAACACAAGGTCTAATTCACATGAATTACAGCGAAGGTCACCCAAACGCTCACATTCATTTAGAACATGCACTTGCTCTGGGCCCGGCTTGTCAGGCTTGAAGTAGCATCAGATGCCAAGGCAGCAGTTTCGCACACAGGTAGGAGGAACTCGGAGGGTGCATCTGGAGAGGCTGTGAGCACAGACTCATCACCTAGCTGCAAATTTACTGGCAAGTGTAATATTTCAGAGCCTGGAGAGGCAGCCACAACGGAGCGGGGAACGTTCTTGGGAATAAATAGCAAACCTCCTTCAAATTGATGCAGAAAACATCTTTATCAGACCTTCCTTATTGTTTTAGTTTTCCTGGACTCCCCTGCACACAAAGCGCTTCGCTAACAAGCATTTAAATTCAGAAGTCAAGCACGAAGACATTATCAATAGGCCACATAAATGCTTCATTCTGGAAGCTACCACCTGAAGCCACAGGAGAGCCTCTTGCACCCCACCAACCAGCCAGTTTGACAGGGGGGTTAACAGACTAGATTTGCTTTACAGCCACCTGCAGCATTAAGCAGCAAACAGCGCGGTGAGACTTAATACAGGAGAAATTTATGTAAAGGAAAGATAGGGTGTTATCTTCAGAAGACACCCCTTTACTACCCCTCATGATACTTTACAGAGCACAAAAGCTATTTTTGAGGGTAGGAAGGGTCTGGTCACAGTACCCGTGAGGAACTTGCATCCCTGCTTGCAGCTCTGAAACCAAGTGAGAGAAAAGGCGAGCACTCTGACTTGTTACAGAGATGGGGACAGAGAAGAAGGAAAAGGAAGAAGCACAGGGATCCCCCTTAGAGCATCCAAGCTATTTTGACTCCATAGCAAGTACAAAAGAGGGTTGGGGGGTTGGCAGGTCTCCAGCACTCTGCATGCAGCAGGACCCACCCCTCAGGGTCACCAAAGGGCAGTTATCACAGTTTTGTTTTTTAAATAAAGATCAAGGCTCCTCAGGCAGCCCTAGACAAGTTACCAGGCATTCTGGTGTGCATGTTGCAAGCCCCCTTCTCCACTGATCAAAAAAACATCCCTCTCTTCTCCAAGCAGGTGAAAGTCAGCTCCTTCCCTCCTCCTTTGGTCACACCATTCTCACCAAGACACCCCAGAAACAGTTCTGCCTCTCTTCCTTTAACAAGGAAGAAATCATTGCTGCCTACACACAGCAAGTCAGGCACCGGTTCGCCAAGACAGTTATCCCTCCTCATTTAGCCAGAAATTCTCATTTTAAAGCACACACTAGCATTAAAAACCTTACAAAGAGCTCTAGAACTTACCCCCACTTCCTCCATATTGCTACAATAAGGTAGCTTAAAGCAAGTCAAGCAGGCAAGAGAAAAAAGTAAAACCCCCCCACCTTCTAAAACACAAAACTACCCACGCTAAATATATGATATATTGCGAGAGCAGAGCAGGCTGGGAGCAGGGGTGAGTCAGCTGTTTGCTCTTATGGTTAAAAGGCTACTGAATGGCTGACACCGGGAAACTTAATCATCTGAAACAGGGAAAACCTGTTAAAATAGGTAAAACAAGTAAGCGAAGAGGTATGTTTTAAAGGAGCAACAAAACATTAATCACTTCTTAGCCTTAATCCTTAACAAAATGACCACTGTGGTACAGCTGCTGCAAAACCTCGTTCTTTTTCCCCTCATGGGAAAGAAGAAAGGAAGATTTGGTTTAATATACTAGCAGTATTTAAGAATAAAGATGATGTTTTCTATATGAAATTATTTTATTTGTGCTTAATAAGGGTAAAAGAAGAAAGAATATACAGAAATGTGTATTCTGCTACAAGCAAATTTTTGTATATAATGCTTGAATTTTTTAAAAATAAACCCTCACCACATAGTATAGGCAACTGCTGTCAAAAGTTAGATGGTAACTTAATTGCAGGCTAAGAAATGTAAGACCAATATATCAGCAGATGCTTTCGTATTTTACTATATTGCATTGCATATTAGGAGATGATATGACATTCTTGGATTTAGGTGCATGTTTGAATCAGAAAGTGTTACTATTAAAGTGCATATTCCTCATCTTGAAAAATAAGTATCTAAAATTAACAATTAAAGAGTTTCGTACAGGGACATAAGTAGCTTTATACATTATTTATCTTGGGTTTTATACTTAGAGCTGAATGTTATTTGAGGAAGTAGAAATAACTGCAGTGATTTAGTGTTGTGGTTTAACCTCGGCCGGCAACTGAGCACCACCCAGCCGCTCGCTCACTCCCCCCTCGCAGTGGGATGGGGGAGAGAATCGGAAGGGTAAGAGTGAGAAAACTCGTGGGTTGAGATAAAAAGTTTAATAATTGAAATGAAATAATAATAATAATAGTAATAAAAGAATATACAAATCAAGTGATGCACAATGCAATTGCTCACCACCCACTGACCGATGCCCAGCCGGTCCCCGAGCAGCGGACCCCCCAGCCAGCTTTCCCCACTGTATATACTGAGCATGACGTCACATGGTATGGAACGTTTCTTTGGCCAGTTTGGCTGTGCCCCCCTCCCAGCTTCTTGTGCACCTCCAGCCTTCTCAGTTGGTAGAGCATGGGAAACTAAAAAGTCCTTGGCTAGTGTAAGC